GAGGAGGAGGCGGCGGGGCCCGACGTGCGGCGGGGACCCGGCGGCAGAGCGGAGCGCAGCGAGAAGCTGGCGCTGTACCTGGCCGAGGTGGAGAAGCAGGACAAGTATCTGCGGCAGAAGGGCCGGTTCCGCTTCCACATCATCCCCGACGGGAACTGCCTGTACCGCGCCGTCTGCAAAGCGGTGTACGGGGACCAGCGGCTGCACGGCGAGCTCCGCGAGCAGACCGTGCACTACATCGCCGACCACCTGGACCACTTCAACCCCATCATCGAGGGCGACGTGGGAGAGTTCCTCATCGGCGCCGCCCAGGACGGGGCCTGGGCCGGCTACCCGGAGCTGCTGGCCATGGGACAGATGCTGAACGTGAACATCCACCTCACCACGGGCGGCCGGCCCGAGAGCCCCACCGTTTCCACCATGGTTCACTACCTGGGGCCCGAGGACCCGACACGGCCCAGTATCTGGCTGAGCTGGCTTAGCAATGGGCACTACGATGCTGTGCTGGACCGCATGTGCCCCAACCCAGAGTACGAGGCGTGGTGCAGACAGACTCAGGTACAGCGCAGGCGGGATGAGGAGCTGGCCAAGTCCATGGCAGTGTCCTTGTCCAAGATGTACATTGAGCAGAATGCCTGCTCATGAGACCACCTGAGCCGCAGGCTGGGAGCTTTGCTGCAGGGACTGACAGAGAGAAGGTGTGCTGGCTGTGATGGTGATGCCTTAATCCTTAATGAAGCAGCAGCACCCCAGACTGAGAGGGACTGTAGGTTGTGGGGGATAAATGCAGACGTATTTGTAATATTCTCTTGTAAAAACTTAGCCTCGGGTTATTTGCAAGCAGATTTCTCTGTGTATGTTTGTGTCTCCCCTCCCCACTGTCTATTTTCTATAAGAATGTATTTTTTGCACACTATTTTTAAACTGTTACCTCCATGTTCTACATCTTACATTAGTATCTGGCTTTCAGCTGTACAGCCAAAAACGTTTGTAAACAGTTTTTTGTAAATAAGGCTTATGATGTAACAGCTATTTTTTGCTGTGTTTTTTATCCATAAACCTTATATTTTTACCAAATGAAGTTGATGTCAAACAGACCCCCCTAGTCGAGGAAAATATTGTGGGTATTTTCTTGCAAAATTAAAATAATGGCTTTTGTAAAAGTGCAGCAAAGTGAGAACAGACTGCTTTTAGGAACAGTTGCTTTCTCTGCCTGGAGCACAGAACAGGTCGTTTGAGCCAGTTGGAATGCAGCTACACGTGAACAGTGCAGGGAGCAATTGACTCTTCTGTTTATAATTACTGTTTTGAGTAAACTGGCCTCTTGTTGCCTGGTTGGCTCACCCTCTGCTCCATTTATATTATTTATCTATAATAACAGAACATTAACTTGCAATAGAATGTTGTGACTAGATAATAGTCTCCTGCTTTGGCAGTAATTGCCTTGGCTGCACCTCAGTGTTTGTGTTCTTGTTTCTGGGGTTATGGTGTCTTTCGTATAAGCCCTGCTTCTTTTTTGGCACTGATGTTTCACCAACAAGTCATTATCTGATCACAACATTTTATTCACGTGACTTTATTTTCTAATCAAGAATTCAGGAATGGTATTCTACATTATGGTTTAAAAGAAAAAAAAGTACTTAAATTGAGGTTTGTATGGTTTGCTGGGTCAAACATTTAAATGTTTCCAATCTGGATTCTGTCTCTTCTACTTTCTGATTAACTTGTTAGATATATTTATTAAGTAATGCAGTTTGTACTTTTTTATTTTGTAATATATTGTGATTTTGGAATTTATACTGTATTTGTATAATAGGAATATTCACAGCTAAAATGGAATGAATAAAGAATATAATTTTACTTGTGCTCTTCTTTTCTGCCCTGTACATTCCTGCTGTGGGTGGGTTTACAGGACCTTCTATTTAGCTTCTCTGCCTTAGTGTCCCCGATGAAGAGGAGGAAAGAAGGGACACAGTACTTTACAAATGTGAACCACTGATAATTCTGGTGTCTGTCAATATGTGAAAGAAAGAAATGCAAGCATTTAAAGGCAATCAAATATCTGTAATTATTTTCTTACTGCAAGAGATCTTAGTGTATCTGCTTGCTGGAGAGAAACAGTTTTCTGTATTAATACACCTTAGATGAGGAGTTCTCAAGCGTAGTTAATGAGCTGGTGCCACCAGGGTTGGTGGTGAGCCAGCTCTCTGCTGGTCTGTGCACACTTGGGCTTGGACCTTGGTCTTTGGGAACCTCCATTCTGCATTTAGCCCCAAACTTGCTTAAGATTTGTCCTGTCAGTAGTGATACCTTGGCACCCTTTTGTCACTCAAATAGAAGTAATGTCATAGGGAGATACAGCTTTTTACTCCCCTCACAAGATGGAAATGCCTTGCAAGTTGTTAAAACGTGTTTACAAACGTGCACGTGTGTTTACGAATCAGTCCCTGATCTCAGAATAGTAAAAGCCCCATCCTTAAACAACAGAAGGGTACTGGGTTAAAGTGAGGATTAGAAAGTAACTGAATAGCTGAAATGCATCGCTCTTAGTTGAGCACATGTGATAAAGAGCTGCTGGACTGGTGTATATATTGGTTACTGGTTTATGTGGTACAAAGAGTAGATTTAAATACTACGTTATTTTCAAAATACTGGTAAATACAATATTTTTATGATTCTCTATACCCAGTTGTGCTTTTTCTTTAAAGTACAAACAATGATGGAAAAACCCTGCCAGTTGTTCTAGTTCTAGTCCACTACTGCTTAACCCATGAATCTTTAGCAAGCTGAGTTTTGAGAGCACAGCAAGGATGCAGTCATGGATGTGTTCATAAGGAAGCGAGGTAGTTTATGGGGAAAATGGCTACTCACATGACTCTAAAAGTGAAGATATTAATACAGCATCACTAAACATTGGTAATGTGTTGACTGATTAAAAATATTGTATCCAAGGCTGCCTAGGTGTTTGGTTGGATGTGATTAATTCATTCAGAGTTGTGATGGTCCCAAACTTTAAAAAAAAAAACCCAAATGCCCAGAAACCCAAAACCCAAAAACCCAATTTTAGGTCTTTTAAAATTATCATTTTCAGCTGTGTAATGAATTGTGATCAGAAATTTTGTGTGTGTTTTGCAACACATACCTTAGAAATGCTCAGTAAACTAAGTGAAAAGGATTGGTACTGCATAGTGTTCTCTCTGTGCCATTAAAGTGGTACTAAAATATCACAAATAAATAAAGTACTGTTAAAAACCAACCATGCAGGACCCTAGGATGGGTTCCCACAGAGTTCCTCAGCAATTTATCTACTGCATGAGTCACAGGGGCATATAGATAACTTTAAGGAATTTAAAAAACTAGGTTACTTGTTGAACTAGTTTGCAAAGACACTGAGGGTGTATTGCTGAAGTGTGTAACAAGGCACTTGTTTTTGCAGCTTGCGTTACATACTGTGTCTAAAAGGAAATTACAAAAATGTCATTTTGGATGTTTTGGGCACATGGAAAGTTGTGTTTTTTTTGAATAGCTGTGCTGTTTGAAGTTCAGCTGAGACACCAGGTTCAGATTCAAGCTAGTGGTGTCTTGCTTGAACAGGAGTAGAAGCGGTTCAAGGGAGAAATTTTATGGAAGCAGTGATCCTAATGTGGAGCTTTACAAAACTGCTTATAACACTACTCTTGCCCACAGGAAAAGCAGAGGTAGAGGCACGTTTTCCTTTACTGTCCTCTGTTCAATAATTCCAGTAACAAGGGAAGGACAGATATTGTTCTGGATCATAATTTCAGTGCCTGATTATTTTAACCTTGGCTAATCAGTTGCATAACCCAGCTAATCCTTAGACCTGCCTGGGGACTGTGGTCAACAGACTTTTTATTATTGTCAGTAAGTCAGAAAAAGAGCTTGATTTTTCAGTATGCCACTTGTGTGGTTTTATAAGTCAGGTAGAAAATGCTTTAATTCTAAACCGGGCTAGTGTGAACTTCAGTCTGTGGGAGCATAAGCTTTGTGATGCCATCTTTGCTTGTATTTTATAACAGAATTGTGAAATAGTTGACATGTTGAATGCTGCATTTCAGGATTTCCTTAGGTTGCCAAGATTATGACAGTCTATCACTGAATGTGCAAGGGATATGTTAAAATTGTCATGTGTGTTAAACAGACTTTGTTACATGAAGCAAGGCTTGCAAGAGCTGAATTGGTTTGTGATGAAGGAATCCCAAAAATAAGGGTGATGGGCAAGTAGGAAAGGGAAGATCTATGTATCACTGTTTTCCATCTCAGTCAAGGGCTCGCTCTTCAAAAAGTTTAGTGGGTGACACTTTGTGCTTAGCAACTTTCTTAGGACACATAAAAGTTGTCTAATGCCAGCTACTGCAGATTATCTGTCCTGTTGTATTTGGTTGATACGTTACATGTTACGTAAATATTTTACATTAATGCACTTGTAAATAAAGGTGTGTTTCAGTACTTGTTTTACATCTACAAAATCACCTGAATACAAATATTTCTACTGTCTGCTTTTGCTTTTATGATGTTGGAATTGCTTGGTAGGATTTTTGAGGATAAAATTTCAATTTTGTTTTAGTGATTTGTCAGTGTGCTCATGCATAGCTTCTGAATCCAAGCAGAAAATGATGACAGACATCTTACAACAGAGGCAAGTACCTGGCAATAACTGTTTTTTGCTTATGATTTGCTTATACTCGGTTATATTTATTCAACAGCTTATTGATATGCAGTGATAAGTGTTCCTAGGATGTTGGTGCAAAATTGTGTGAAATTAAAAATTTCCTGAGCCTCGGTCTTAAAAAGATTGTCCCATTTCAGAATTGCATGGCTGTGTGAAAATACGCAGCATACGGTGAGACAGTAACTGTTTAAAAGGACATCAGCTCTGCCAAATGCAATGGTGTAGTCATCAGAACCTTTTAAAAAAGCAGAAAAATTAAAACTTTGATTTTTGCTAACATACAGGCTGATTTGTAACATTTGTAACATGTACATGTGTGTTTCAGTTAAAAAAAAAAGTGGCTTTTATATATCCTGTTCAGTTTTAATTTATAATCTGTTTTTTTTTTATAGCAAGTTTATATTATTAATGGATAAAAAGATACAGCAATGCAGTAATATATTGTACTTCAGCCATTTATTCCTGGAGTTAGTATTTAAAATCTGTTTATACAAGGAAACCTCATACATGATATTCAGATTGCAAATCAATGGAAATAAACCACTGTCACGTTCCAGGTTTCTGTGGCACGAGTGGTTATTACTCCATCTTCTCATAAATTTGTCCTAATTACTGACTAAGATCAGGCTTCTCTGGAGAAAAGGTGAGTGTGCAATTGCAATAGCATGAGGCATGTACACATGGGTGGACTCACCTTTCTTGTGCGATCTTAAAAAATGGCATTTCCTGCATTTTTAGTGTGTATTTTTAAACCATCATGCTTTTATTCCTTATTTTATTTCTTAGAAGTTTTACTGGAAATTGTAGAAAACAAACTATTGAGTTCTTCTTAGAAGGCATGGTTGGTTAATAGTGTTTGAAGCTTCAGCAGTTGAGTACAGAGTGGCATCTGCAGGGAAGAAGGCAATGGTAGGAGGAAAGTTGGGACTGGGATCTGGCTGTGAAGGGGCCCAAGTCACCTTCTATCCTTTCATGTCCCTTGTTCACCCACATCCCCAGCAGGGAGATCCTGACTTGCTGTGCCACTGGTCTGGTGATAGCTTCAGGATCATTGCTGCTGCTCCTCAGGGTCTTGGACTGCTGAGCTTTTGGGGGATGCAGATGGAGGAAGGGATGGAATGCTCATGAAAAAATGGGAAGGATTTCACGGGCAAAGACATGGTGTTTTTCTTGCCTGTGAACTTCTATTATTGAATTTCAAAGACTTAAAGCATGGTTGAACATCAAAATGGTTTCCAAAGGTCAGTGTAGTTTTAAAAATCATATAAAGCATGTGAACAGATTTTTGAGAGTCAAGTGCTGAAGTATGCTGAAATACCTTTTTTTTTGTATTATTAATCCATAAGTATATTAGCAAAACCATATTATTTTCACAGGTACAAGGATACAGCATTTTTCCTGCTCAAAACTTCCATTTTTGCTGACTATAAAACTTAATTTTCCAGCTGTTTAACTAACCAACATACCCAGGCAAGAAAATAACGATTTCAGATCTCTGGGTGTGATTTGGAATTTGATAAAGTCTGCCAATTTAACCCAGTATCACTAAGCACAATAGTTCTTCCCATTGCTGATGCTGTACTTGAGTTTAGATGTCTGCTTTTAGAAATAACATGATTGTTGGGACTCCAGCTGAGCTTCTTTTGTTATTTTTTAGGGAGAGCTTGTGGTCAAAATGTTCTCCCTTAGTAAATAAAAAACCCGCTATGTTTTATGTCTACATTGCCTGTCTTCCATATGACTTAAAGATTGAGATATGACCAAGAAATGAAGCATTTAACGAATGTGTTCATATGATTTGCTTGTTTTCCTCACAAACTTCAGCTCCACTGGAACAGGTTACTCACAAGAACTGACCTTGCCTTTTGTGGTTTAAGGTATGAGCAAAGATAGATTTTTTGTCTCAGTAATTGCTAACACAATTCCTATTACTTCTTCAAACTCCATCTGCAATTTTAAAATTTATTTTCATGGTTATTTTTGTTGATTGTCAATCATATGCCTATTCAGGATTAACCTTAAAAAGTAGCTATGCTGTAAACCAAAACCTAATTAAATAGGACATTTGAATGAGTTTAGGAGCTGACAGCTGTTTTGCTGTTTATATATAATCAAGGGAAAGGTGGTGCCAAAAATTAAGTGGTTGTGAAAGGACTTTTTTGCTCTGAAAGCTGTTTATATCAGCTTATAGAACAGCATTGTGACTGCTGATGTAAGAGCTTTAATGCACTTGCATTTATTATTTCTTAAAAAAGTAATAATGTTATCTCACAACAAGTTACATTTTTGCTCCACTCAGGATCTCTTTGCTACACAAGAGACTAATACTGCTAGATTAGAAAGACAATAATGTTTTGCTTTTAGAAGTAGTTGCTTTTTTCCCCATTTATCTCCCACCACTCTAATATCCAGTGAAATATAGCTTTGGCTTTAAGTAAGGAGTATTTGTGCATGTGGCCTGTGTTCTCCCTGAACTGGTAAATTGAATACATGTAGAATAAGTTTTTTTACTTTAGATTACTACCCATAAAAGTCATGAACAAACAGTTGGCTAAAAACCTGTGCAGTAGAGCATTTGGCTCAGCAAAGCTGCAGTCCCACTGGGGCTTGGATGGGAAGCAGCATTATAACAGCACATGCTTTACAGGTAGCTGAAAACTTAATCTCCATTTGGTAATTTTGCTTTTAGTTTTTAAATTTTTTTTGCATGCACGTTATCTTACACATCAGGAAGCAAATATTTATGGATATTTTGTCAGTTAGGTAGCTGTCCTTTTGGATATACTCATGATAATTCATGTGAACCATTCACGTGACTGTGATTCCTGGTAGATTTCCATTTTCAGTTAATATTCTACAGCAGTTGCCCTGAAGAGGCTATGCAACATCTTGACTTGCTAGAAATTATACCAAACAATAAAAAATTCAGTTATTTGACAGCATTTATGTAATCAGATTCTTCTCCTTGTCTAGGAGCTCTGGGCTCTGTTAGGTAAGTTAAAGAAGCATTTGCAGAGAAATAATAACTGTGGAAAGCTTCACCAAACATGTTATTGCAAAGAGGGCTGTTGGGATATAGTAGTTCACATGCTCTTCAAAACTCTTTATTGTCACATTGAGATTGTGACAATTTCAAACAAACAAAACCTGAAAAAATCCCCCAAACAAAAATGGCAAACAAAATCCCACAAGAATGTAAACTTTTACTACCAAAAACCCAAGGGAAGCTGCTCTGGGTAGGCAGTACTTGTGAGGAGCCATTGTCACAGAGACTGGTTATATAACGTGAACACTGGCAGTGGCCTCAGCTCTAACATCTACAGGAAATCATTCTGCCAACGAGGTTCTACCCCGGGAGACCAAGTAGGTAATAGTCGATGCTCTACTTCAGTCAAGGGATTGAGTTAATCTCTGCTAAGACTTTTGGTGCTTCCTCAAGCCTTTGAGCTTTATCTCAGTGCTCTCTGGATTAAGCTCTTGCCAGCCAGCAGCTGTATCATTTCTCTTTGGGTCACTTGATACTGATAGAGGAGGTAGACAAGAGCCAGGTACTGCCTCGGCATAGAGAATCCTGTGCTCCATCATAACCCCTTGGTGTCTCATATCACTCCTGTCAAGTATAAAGTGTGAGAAAAAAGAAATTGTGCACCACTGGAATGTGGAATCAGTTCTATCTCTCTGTTCACTCAAAAGTTCTCACTGAAGAAAAATACAAACTTGTGCCAAGTCAGTTATATTTACTTTTTTATTTATTTACTTTTTTCTATGAACTGTAAATATATCCCAAGGAGTTTATAACTAGCCGCTGAGGCATTTTACAGCTGAAAAAAATGCTACAGACGTTTGGTCACATGGAAATCTTCAGTGGGATGCCACAGGTTTTCTACCAAATTCAATTCTGGATTCAGATTTATCTTCTGCTCAAATATTTATTTCATTCTGTCTGCTATCACCATTATGTATTTAATACCCTCATTAACTTTGATGTTTATTCCCATAGCATAGGGAGGAAATAACGGGAGCTGTTTCTAATATTAGTGAATACCATCAGAGGAAGGGAGGGTAGCCCCTTATCGTAGGGAACATTCCGTGACTACTTAAAACCAAGGGAAAAGTACCTGAAATTTGGTCTTGACATGGACATTTTAACTTCCTTTTTTTAAGAGAGTCTTATTCTTGTTAAATATTTCTTGTGTTGAGAAGGTACTGATGCCTTTGCTAAATGTGCTGAGGAGAGGGCCAACAAAAATGCGCCAGCAAGAGTGGAAGCGATGTGTCTGAGATGAAAGTGCAGCATGTGAGGCAGCTTTACTTTCTGTTGGCCTGACCTGTGGGTTTTCTATCTCACTTATAACTTTGTCATTTCCTTGGCATAAAAAATGCTTTCTATATGTTTTTGCAACATATTTCCTTTTCCTACCTTGAGATTAAATATGAACAGAGATCCAGTTTCTTGGGAGTCAAGTCCAAAATGTATTTTAGAAATTTTCTTTTGATAAAACATGATTTATGTGTTGTTTTCAGTTTTACAACCTTTATGGTATAATTCAAGCACAGGGCTGTGAAAAGTATGTTTGTAAAGGAGTATTAATTTCACCTTTATAGGCTTTTAAAGTAAGTGTTTACAGCTCGGTTAACTTTGATAAATAGTAAAGGAATTCTGAATGGGAAATATGTGCATAGGATATTATAAAAATATGACATTTCTTTTTCTTATGTGCTTTATTGTAAATTTCCAGATTTAATTTCTTCAGGGGGAAAAATAATTGAGAATTGAGCTCATTTGGGCTCTTTGCTGCTGTGCTGCTGGGCAAGTTCATCCCAGCAAAACCCTGAACTTTGTCACCCTCTTGAAATATCAGCCCTTGCCTCTAGTTATTGCAGATGAGGAATTAAATGCATAGTCTGTTTATACAGATTCTTGAAAGAAAACCTTTGAAAGGGAGAATGTAATAGCTGCAGCTGTATGGAAGGTCAATCATCACCTGTACCGTGTTCGAAATGCCATTTTTGACTTGTCTTCCTTCGATGCTGCCCAGTGAGATGAAGAAAGAAAAGTACTGTGCTAGTCCTTCAGGAAATGTTTGCTCTGCAGAGGACAGTGCTGTGCAGAGATGCCATTGAGCTTGGCAGGGGCAGCAGCATCACAGAATGGTCCTTGTTAGGTGGAAGGAAAAAGCAGGTCTCTGAAGGAGGTGAGTAGGATCCTGAGTCCCAGAGTGGTTTTGCTCTCTCCCCAGTGCATGCACAGGGTCCTGGGCACTCTGACAAAGTTCATTGTCAACACTCAGGAGCATGGGTCAGTATTTTTAAATATTTAACTCTATAGACTTGGTTTGAAGGCATTACTTGGTGCATAGCTGCCATGCAACAATCTTGCAATATCAAGCTGTAATAATTGTATGAGGAATGTGCAGTCCTGGGAGAGAGTTAAAGATACTATATTACATATAAAACTTCCATATATAACCCAACTGCTTTTTAATAGGAAGACTACAAGCAGGAAAATGTTATAGCAGTTGTAAATAACATAAAGCACTTCTCAGCAGTTCTG